AATATCTATTCATTCATTCCAGCCCAGTTAGAAATGAAACAATGAACAAGAAACAAAGTTATGAAATATTACCTTGTAAACGATTTTGCTATATGGTCCCTTATTATAAGGAAAAGATACCTTTATAAATGATGTAATTTATCTGAAGGGAGACAATCAAACGTTCTGCACGAGAAAAGTTGAAAACTTTCAAATCTATGCTGGATTTTTTTTATTATCAATTGCAGAGTACAGTACGTTTCTTAATTATGGTATTATACTAGAATAGTAAACTATAGTAATTATGATAATGTATATTTTTGTAAGTTTTGAATAACCTATTCAATATAATATTTGTTTTCTGCCTTTTTTCTAAATAGATATAGAAATTTTGAAATAACGCATAATAATAATGTGTGCGCAAAAGGAAATTCGAAGCTTGACTTAAATGTTTCCTTTCAGCTGGAATTTCCCAATATCAAATGAACGGATACGGACATACGTGAAACAGTGTATTTTTACCACAAATTTAGAGCTAGCTTCATATCCTAGCTCGACATTAAATAATGAGACATATAAAGAATGTCGAGCTGAATGTTGTGCTGAATGTCAAGCCAGCTGCACACTCCAGCTCAACATTCAAAAATGAGACATAAAAACTAATATTGAGTTGAATGATTGATGAATGTCTAGCCAGTTTCAAATCCCAGCTCAACATTTAGAACGAGACATAAAACTAATATTGAGCTAAATGTTTGATGAATGTCCAGCCAACGAATGTTGAGCTGAATGTTGTACTGAAGGTCAAGCAAGCGTCACATCTTGGCTCAACATTCAAAAATGAGACATGGAAACGAATGTCGAGCTCAATGTTGTGCTTAATGTGGAGCCAGCTTCACATCCTAGCTTGTCATATTTAACTGAAACATTAAAATTATTGTTAAGCTAAATGCTGTACCGAATGTCGAGACAGCATCACATCTCAGCTCGACATACAACAAGAGCAAAAACGAATGTCGGACTGGATGTTGTGCTAATTGTCTAGCCAACTGCACATCCCAGCTCGAAAGAGAGTCAAAATCAAGTCAAATTCTAAAAGAGTAAAATAAACAAATGTAAACCTGAATGTTGTGCTGAATGTCAAGTCAGCTTAAAGTCCTAGCTCGACAATAAAATAGGGATATAAAATGTATGTCAAGCTGAATGATTTACTGAATATCGTGTCAGCTTTCCAATTATTATCAACAGTGATTAATCGAATGTCGAGTTTCTGTATTTCTCTATTCTATTTGAATGTTTTTCTGAAATTCAAGTTAATTTCATTTCCTATCTTGATATTGATAAATCGATCTCTGTGCCAACTACATAGACTTTTTTAATTGCTTAATTGTAAGCATAGTCACAAGACAATATACATGTATGAGTATTATCTTATGCTTTAGTACCGGCTGATTAAACGACCGCGTTTGAATTAAATGCATATTGTTTCTGGAGTGGTAAGTGTTTACTCTTTTAAAGGAACTCCTCTGAGGTTTTTTGACATGATCGGACTGGAAATAATTTTCGAGTGTGATCAGGATACATGCTGTTCGCTTACCAACCCTATAACAGGTAGAGAAACTTATATTGAACAGCATGGATCCTGATCAGACTGCGCTGTTGCGCCGTGGTCTCATGCAGTTTGCAACTTTGTCGAGATTTCAAGTACTGAATAACTTTCGGTCCACCAATAGGTTGGCAAATGCAACATCCAACAGGTTCATAACCAGATCTGCATTTGGGGTAGCAGCGTAAGCCATATTTGTCCTCTGTGCTTTGTTCATTAATTACAAGGGTTTCCCCTGATAGAAAATTAAAAATACTTAAACATACATTTAGCATTCTTCTGAACATACATTTAGCACTATTCTAATATATATAATGATGATGGATTACATGATCTATCATATTTATTATCTGTCTCATCAAATTCAATATTATGAATGTCACAGAATTCGATAAATATACATGTATATCTAAAATACATTACCTTTGATGAAACAAACTGTCAAACTCAATACAAATAGGGCTATAATTCCGAAATGGTTCCGCTTGGCTGTTTCCATCGTAAGTACAGAATAATTTCGGTGTTCTTAGCTGGTAATGCTCTAAAATTAATGAAATCATATTTTAACAATTGATACATAGGTAACATTCTTAAAACTGACCACTAACTCGATTAGAGATAGATAAAATGGTAAAATATCGAGACATTAAATAACGCTAAAATCCCAGGACACTTGAAAACATTGCAGACTCAGTTTGACTGATCATGTAAATGGACTTCTGTGGTAAACACAAGCTATCGTCCTGCCCATTAACAATGGCTTAAATATACTAGTAATTCATGAAAAGATAAACATGAAAATGGTTAATTTCCAAAATGAGCAACATTCGCAGATTATCCACACTGCGGTAATCAAAGAACATTCAATGTAACATAATCGTAACTATACATGTACATGTATGAGTTGAATTTATACATAAAACTTACATTATTGTGAACTCATAAATGCATGAAGACTAATACATGTTTTAAATAGTATAACGCATCAATCATTTATAACGAAAACATTTGAGTGTTAGTAATTTCAATTAACATTTTCACCCATCATTATATTATACATGTATTATACTTTTAAAAATAACCCATTTAATAACACATAAAAATAAAACAAAACTTTAAGGCATCTGACAATTTTTTCTGATATTTTAATTGATTTTTTGTAAACAAAAAGGGCAATTCGAAGCTGCATTATACATACATTATTTTGAAGAAAAAAATCAAGAAATAATTTATTCAATCACTCATCACTCATTAATGCTCAAATCTAGGATATCTGTTTTTAAAAAAATCATATTCGTTTGGACATTTTAGCGCAATTTGTTTGAATATAACCAATCAAACTGTATATCAAGCATGAATATGCTAAAGAGACGTCCGTGCAAAACAAAATCGCTAAACAAGACAAAACCAAATAGAAAACTAACCTCAGATCAGAGCGTTTTTCCTATCTCTTGCTCAACATTTCTAATGGCTTGTTTATATACCAACAGTCGCCATTTTATTAAGTGGAAGGGTATTTTCATATGATTCATCATATTTTTATAAGAAAAAAGTCCTTAAAACAATTGGTAATGCGCGTTCGTGTCAAGTGTCTTTACACGTGGTTTAGTTTGAATTACTTAAAACTCAAGTTGAATTCCTTTTAAAACCGCTAAAAATATAATCGAAGGAAAACATAAAATAAAAGAAAATATTCATATATTTTTGATTTGTACTTTGTAGCAATCGTGCGTCGTAAGCATTCTTAAGGATGTGGATAAAACAATGAGCCAATTAAATAGGTTCAGAGAAAATAAACCTCCTTCATTAGATTACACAGAAATTATCATTATTATAATAATACGCTTTCTTAATGATGAAGAAGTACGTAGAAACACTTAAGACAGTAAAGTATAGTACAGCGTTTTTTCCTAGGCAGAATATGAATAATTATATTTGTAAAATGAATATTAATGAATATTAAACTTGATAGATTTATACCCTTTCCCTAAATTTCAAACTCTTTATAATAAAAAAAATGCTTGGGGTCTCTTTTCTTTCATTTTGGAATACACAGTTTATTTCGATCAACATTAACATTATTAAAAATTTTGTTACATCTTTCTCATACAAATATAACAAACAAACCAGTGTTATAATTAACAGGCTCAAAACCATCCTCGTGCAAATGCATTTGTTTGTAAATTATTAAGTTTTTTTTCAAGATATCGTAACACTGTTTACTTTTTCTAATTACTTGTGATTTGACTCACTTTGGAAACAGAAGATGCCGAACAAGGTTGATAATAGGAGCTTGACGATAAATCATACGCTTACTGTTTCCTTACAAGTGTTATTCTTATTTTACTATATTTTGGAGAGAAATACTGAAATGATTTTAACCATTACTATTTGTGTTTTGTATTAGTAATTGAGTGATATTTAAACATTGAAAATATTAAACTTCTGCTGCAGCAATTTGCCTGAGTCAAGTTACAAAGTTGTAAATATCTAATATAATTATTTCTTATGAAAAAAGAACATGGTGCAAATACATTTTTTGAGTTTGAATACATTTATAGAAATAAAATTTTGGCACTTTAAATATACGTGTATTTATATATAAACAAATAAATGTTGATATGATATTCTCTCTGTTTCTCAAAAAATAATGAACTTTTCAATTTTAATAAAGGATAGCATCTATTTATAATTCAAAACACATTAACATGTACTTTTGGATAATTAATAGAATAGCATTTACTTTTTGATACAAAAAACAGTAATAATTATGTTCCGATAATAATAAATGTGTACTGTTCGATACAAAGCAGTTAACATATACTTTTCGATAATTAATAGAAGAACATGTACTTTTTGATACAAAAAACATTAACAGGGACGTTTCGATAAAAAATAATGTGTACTTTTTGATACAAAGTACATTAACATGTACACTTCGATACAAAATACATTTAGATCTACAAGTTCTTTTCGGTAATAAAAACATTAACGTGTACGTTTCGATACTAAATACATGTACTTTTCAATACTAATACATTAGCATGTACTTTTCAATACTAATACATAAACATGTACTTTTCAATACTAATACATGTACTTTTCAATACTAATACATTAACATGTACGTTTTGAAACTAAATACGTGTACTTTTCAATACTAATACATTAACATGTACTTTTCAACACTAATACATTAACATGTACTTTTCGGTAGTAAAAACTTTAAAATGTACTTTTCGTTTGTAGTGCATTGACAATCATATACAATTTAATCTGTTTTAATGAATCAAGTTTTTGTTTAATATCATATATTCAGGTCATAATTAGCGTTTCTATATTTGAATACATGAAAGGCAAGTCTCATGTGAAATCATATATACATTGTATAACAGCTGTGTAGTGAAGAACATATTCAATTTAAACTCACAGGAAATTGAAACAAACTATTCTAATGTTTTATATGGGCTATATACTATAATAAGACTAGCTTTAAAGTTAAACACATCACCGTTTCAGTGAAACGTTGCAATAATAATGCAGGATCAGGATTTAAATAGTTTGCAATTACATCAGATTTACAAGGTAAAATTTAAGAATTTGCTATTCATGATTTTTTTCAAAATATTTTATTATTTTATAATAAATCATTATTATTATAATTTGACTTTAAAATGTTAAACTATTGAATAATGTCTACGTTGGATATTTATATTGTTTGTATTTACATATACCTAGGCATTTGATGCTGCTCAAGAAACATTTGATGCTCCCGGGAAGATTTTAGTTTTGGTGACGAAAGAGTTTTACAGAAAAGCCATTGATTTTACAAGAGAGAACTTCCTTACGAAAGAACCAATAAACCGATCTTTAAACGTACAGTATACGTCCGAATATGAAGATCATTGGATAGCAACAATGAAACATAATTTATCGCTAATGATTATTCACAAAGAAACTGAAGACGTTGTTGCAATCATTAGGATAAAGGTCCAATGTAAAGACGACAAATCAGCTTTAACTGGCATACAAGCAAAACCTACACAACAGAAGCACTTATTCACTTCGTACTGTTCAAGTAAAGCGGATTTCTTCGGTTATTATGGAACGACACAAGCACTTCATTTTGTTGGGCTTACGGTTTCACAAAAATATCAAAAGCAAGGAATGGCATCTAAAATTGTTAATTCTGCATTGTGTATGATCCGAAACCTTGGAATCAAGCCAATATATGTTAAAACCGAGTCTGCGTCAATTTATGCACAGAAAATATTTGAAAAGGCAGGATTTGAGATTTTATTTGAACAGCCATTTGATAAATGGACTGTCGATGGAAAACAATTAATTAATAATACAGGTGTGCATGAATCAAGAAAAAACTATGGCTTGAAAGTCTAGGCTTTAGGAAAGTATATACGGGTATATGAACAGAAATATTGATAATGTTTATATATGCATAAATCATTTTACTTTTATATCATTTAGAGCATAATGTTGTTATGTAATCAATACGTATGTTCAATGTATAAACTTAAAGATGCATTTCATAATGCAACATTAACTTTCAAACTTATCGCATATATATACGTAAAGATGTATTTAAAGTATATGGTTGATTGATTTTTCGATATCTATCGATTGGTATGTACGAACCTATTTGATATTAATGTATTAATTTTATGTATAAATATTTGTAATCGTCATAGATGTGGTATGCACTGGTCTTATAAGTAGATGCAATTGCAGCCAGCAGGCAATGGATTTAATGAATATTAAACATCGATATTATCAAAGTTTACGCTCCATTCTCAGCTCGCTGAGACGTGAAACATTCGGCCGATGCGCAGGAAGGTACATCAAGTTATACAAAACTGAATTGTTAATATCGATATATTATACCTATGTTGTATAAAACAAACATGTATTCCTCAGGGTTTTTTGAAAGTATCGGGAGCACTATCGTTTTATTATCCTTAATACAGGATGATGTATCAATAAAACTTTCCTGTCTGAGTGGTTAAGGTCGCTGAATTCAAACCATTTACCCATCACTGCTGTGGATTCGATTCCCAACAGATACTTAAGATTCTATAATTAATCCAAGAAAATTATCCTAAATTAATCTTCGTTGCGTTCCGCTTATGAATCCATTCGTGCCTGAAATAATTACAGGTAAAGCTGGAAAGTCGCCTATGACCTCTACTGTGTTGGTATGACGTGAAACCAACGTTTTTCGTTAAAGTTGTGCAGCAATCCTTCGAGGTGTGTGTGTTCGCGCGCGCATGCGTACGCAAGTGTGCGTAAGGTGGGTGCGTGCGTGCATTCGTGTTGGAAACTATCTCGTAGATAGGAATATGTATACAAAATTCTTGAGTTACCTGTAAATAATTCTTAAATGTGTGAACCATATAGCACCATGACAATGGTTTTATTTATACCATTTTTGTTAAGCTCTTCAATTTACTGTAACGTTATATTGTTGCCATAAGTAATTTAAGGAAACAATCAAATACGTATACTCCTATGACTTTACAAACATCACTTTTATCAACTACCTAAATAATCTAATAGACCTGTTTTATCTTATTGTTACTGTTGAACATATATAATGTCTTTTGGCTGCGTCTTATATTGCTCTCTTTACTTTTAGTCTTATGGCCAGTCTTCGGTATTAATTTACCAATAGACTAACATTTTAATAAATGACCACTAAACCAACCTTAAAATTGAGTATTCATGCTAAAGATGTGAATTTTTCTAGAAGATGTCAGACGCATTTAAGTTATCTTGTTGACCGACCTTATCTTTCGCAAAATGTCCCCAAAGATGATTAATCCCCTTTTCACTGAAAATTTTCCTGCTGACAAATATTTTTTAAAATGCCATTATCCAAATGAGAAATTATCCTAGACACTTATGAAACAGTTCATTTTCTTAAGAAAACAATTCAGTGTTTGTTTCTAAATAATTTTTGTACTTGTAAACATGACATTTTCATCTTATCACCTGATGTCCCAGTGAATCTTACGCGTTTTCGCCAATCGCAGACAATGTTACAATAATCTGACCTTGTAAATATTTTTTCTGTCAAACAGCAGTTTCGAATGTCAGCGGGTTAAATATATTGGCGAGGTATTTGTGCCAATATGCTATCTCAGTTTTACTAACTAACTATTGTTTTTGTTTATGTTCATTTATTATTAATTTCTAATATAAAAACCTATTTCAGCATTGAAAATTGTAATTTGTTTTTATTTATGTAAATATAGTACGTATTATTGTTTCAAAATATCGTCTATCACAATTCTGATTTAAATATTACTAATTATCTATTGTACACAGTATATTGTATACATTTATTGTTGTTGTTTTTTCCGTGTGCCCTGTAAGGGGTAACCCCATTTATTTTCCCCGCCATTGGCATGATAGGGGTCGAAGAGCATCCTCCTATCAGCCTTACATGATACATGTATACATGTATATTTGTTTGTGACAAAATAATATTAATAAAATAAAATTAATTGTCTTTCTTTTTTCAAAGAGTTCATAACCTTAGACTACATTAATACATAGTTTATTTCAGCAATTATGCTCAACAAAATAGACATTTTTACAAATGAAATGCAGTATTTCCAAGCAAAATTTAACTTGATTGCATAGTAGGAATTAAAAGGAATAATAAAAAACAGTAAAGATAATGTGATAAACATTAGATTTTTGCAAAGGTATCGTTTGTTGAACAGTACAGTCAAGATTGAAAAGCGAATTAACTCTTTATAAATTAATGCTCGAGCTTTTATTGAGTTGCATCCCTTACATTAAAGATGATATTCATACAAATTACAAATATTTAAAAAAAATTCTGTCACAGTATCGCTTTTATTTTTACATTTGTTTTCAAATTGGTATTTTTTTTATCATTAAACAATTTTCTTTACAATCTAGGTATTGGTTGATGTATATAATCGTGTTTACAATTGTTACGATATTTCCAAATTCCCCATTTGGTTTCAGATATGACAGTATTTGTCAATTTATTTTTAGTTGCTTGTTCAAAAGACCAAAAAAGTGCAGTAGATCAAAAATGAGAATAATCAGAGTCTAAGATTTTAGCGGACTGATTACCACATGTCCAAACATTACTGGCAAAATCACATTCCAGAAAAGGTGTAACAAAGTTTCTCTGTCAGATAAATTGGTAAGAGACAGCTTTTGATCTGTATAAATAACATTGTGTAAGAATTTCCACTGATATTGTACTGATTTGCGTAAAGAAAAGAATCCATATTGTATCAAGGGGGAGAATCACGCCGTTCGTTACCCAAACAAACAAGATGGCGGATGCAGCCAAAAAGTAGGTTTTTCCCTTTTTTCTCAGAAATTCGTGATTTTCTAATGTAAAAGTACATATAACAACCTTCCCCGTGTTGTATTCAATGGTAACTCAATATTTAGTAAGCTCTCTCATTTGCTTTCAGTTTTAAATTAACTATTCTTTGAGATATATGTTGTATAAACACATTTACATTTGAGCCGCGTCACGACAAAACCAATATAGTGGGTTTGCGACAAGTTTCTCCACTTGTAATAGAGTTGGTAAACGAAAAGCATGGATCCTGATCAGACTGAGCGGATGCGCAGGCTGGTCAGGATCCATGCTGGTCGCAAACCCACTATGTTGGTTTTGTCGTGACGTAGCTCATTTGTTAAATTTAATATTACATCAATTCCTTTATTGTTTATGCTTGTTCATCATATCAATACTCGTATTAAACAGACTGAACATTTATTGTCATAGTTTGCTGATGATACCACTGTAATGTTAGATGGAACAGCACAATCTTTAAATGCCACTCTTGATGTTTTATCAGTTTTTGCTCAGATCTCGGGGCTCAGTGTGAACTTTGAAAAGACAAAGGTTGTTTGGATAGGCATTAAAAAGTACAGCAGTGATAGCATAAAAACTAGATGGAAACTGAATTGGAACGAAACTAGTTTCAAAATGCTTGGTATAACATTCCATGTGGATCTTGAAAAAATGGTAGATCTTAACTTTAAAGAAAAAATATCCAATATAGAAAAAAAGATTAAACAATGGAATAGAAGAGCTTTGACTCCAATCGGTAAAATAACAGTAATAAAAACAATACTTATCTCACAACTAAACCATTTATTTATAATGTTGCCGAATAAATCGGATAAATATATACAACAAATTAATGATACATTATATGCTTTTATTTGGAATGGAACTTCAAAAATTAATAAAAATGTGTTAGTTAAAGATTAGATGGAAGGGGGTTTAAGAATGGTAAATATAAATGCTTTTATGAATGCGTAAAAACTTACATGGATAAGAAGAATTATTTCAAGTGATGGTTGTTGGATAAGTATTTTAACACAGGGTATTGATGTACAAAAATTAGTCACGTGTGGAAAGCATTATGTCGAGAAAATGTCAAAATCTATTTAAAATGAATTCTGGAAACACACTTTAAATGCATTTTCATTGTTTATTGAGCATCAGAAATTTGATAAAGAAGACATTTGTAACTTACCTTTATTTTACAATCAGAACATTACTATTGGCAATAAAAGTATGTTTTGGAAATCTTGGTATGATAAGGGAATTCGTTGTATTTATGATATCTTACAAGACAATGGCCAGTTTTATACACCAGCAGAATTAGGCAAGATAAAAAAAGACAAAAGTACGAAAGACCGGTGGGGACATTTCAGCTTCATGAATTCTCGATTTCAACTTCAAGAATTCACGATTTCAACTTCATGAATTCACGATTTCAACTTCATGAATTCACGATTTCAACTTCACGAATTCACGATTTCAACTTCATGATTTCACCTCTGGTCGCAGTCAATCTTTAAAACGTCTTACGACGGTCATCGATGATCTTTGACAGTCACAGGTTATCTTATATAGGTCCCACGACCAATTTCAGTCGTAGATAGGTTTTTGAGCTTGCACAACAACCTCCCTGCAATCAAACAGGTCGCTAGTTGTTTCCAGATTGTTTTGATTTTTTATTGTTGCATGTCTAAATGCCGGTGTTGCATTACATTTTGACCTCTACGAAAATTGACCCAATGGGTCATATTGCCACGTTACCCTGCCAACAATTGAACATTCAATTTTGATCAGAAAGTCGTTGAGAAATTATCAATCCTTAAATTGTGAAGCAACAGAGTTTGTCACTACGTTATAAAAATGATTTAACAAGCATGGTATGGCCAAGCATGGGCCCATGCGCACTACTTCGACAAGAAAGGCAAAAATAATGTGTATGTTAGAGAGAAAATTGATTAACGAAAGTTTAAGACAATGGTTTCCAACAGAATGATGTGCCTATGTGGTCGGAGTTCAATATGCCACTCGAGACTTCCACAGGAGTTTTTTGACAATAATAATTGTTAATGGTCATTTTACGAACAAGTTTATTCAACTGTTGAAATTCATTAGAATATCTGTAGCTAGCCATAGTTCTTAGAAATATTCTCTTGACATTGTGTTTAGAACTACTAT